CAGAGTGATGGTGACACTGTAGTCAGTGAAGGGCTGCAGAGCAGAACAGGCAAATGTCCCCTCCTGACCACTTAGCACCTCCTCTCCCGTCACCTCCTCGGCATCACAGGGAGGGGAGGAAGGCCCTGACAGACGGCACGTGGCCCGCATGCGCTGGCAGACTTCAGGGACCCTACAGGTCCAGTTCAGTTTGATGCTGGTGCTGGAGATCTCCAAGGCCTGGGAGATAACCTGGAGGACCTCTGTGAAGGAAACATTGCAAAAGGTTTACTTCCTTCCCTTCCTCTCCCAGCCTTTACACGGTGCTGCCGCCAGAAAGCCCTGATCCCCACCCATCCATGACAGAGGGAAAGCAAGAGGCTGAAATGGCTCACTCCAGCTCTCTGGTAGAGGATCAGCAAGAGTCCAGGCAGCAATGAATGCGGGTGAACATGTGGACTGCTGTTGCTCAAGGTGGTTTTCCCTGCTGAGTCACAACTCCGGTGTCTGTGGGTCCCAGCATCTCTACACTCCAACAGCTGCAGCTCTTAGAAAGTCCTACTCCTTTCCTGCTCTGCATAGACCCCAAGAGAAAGGCTCCTTTTCCCTGGCAGTGTAGTGAGAGATGGAGCTCTAGGAAACCAGAGTAGCTCCAAATACACCACATCCCCAGCAAGGGGATGGGGGCAAGATGGGCCCCACGCTGCTTTGCCCTGGCCTTGCAGGAATGGCCAGGAGGAACAGGGGCTGCAGGGACTGGGGCACCCATGAGCAGCTCACACTATGCACAAAGCCTGCACAGAGGCTCGTGGGCCAGCATTTGACCCTGGTGCCTTGTGGCATCATCTAAGAAGGCAAGGCTATTTCATGCCTTAGGAACCTGCCACATGAAGTCAGCAAAGCACCCAAGGGGACCAGTTTGGAGGCCCTGAAGCCTTTGGGCATGCATGGAACTGTCCCCGGGGCCCTCTCCTTTGTGCATGTGCTCTTGCCAGAAGGACTAAGGGAGAGTCTCATCACCCACACCTTCGGCAAGAACCTCCCACCCGCTGCTGAACGGCAGGGCGGGGTCCGGGGAAGGG